ACATTAATAAGAAGAAAAGAAGGACAGCGAGGTTAGCCAGTTCTCATACCGGCTGGCTACTTCGTAATAATAGATTAAACACTATGGTAAAAGAGACTACTAATTCGTGCATAATCTTGCATTGTGAACGTATAATGTAATCAAACAAGGCTGTATTAATGCACACATAAATGTGTACACATCAAACAATATGTGTGCTGTTCACCCTTTAAAATATGCATATATATATATATATTATATTATTGTAACAGACTAGAAAAGGGTAGAGAAGAGAAGCAGAGGAAGACGAAGAGGCTTGGCACGATCGCAGTGTGCTGCCGCAAACGACCATCGTTCACCTCCTGTAAATAAAACCATCTTATCACAGTTCGCTATTACAGTTGTGGTGGACGTGCTGGGTAATCGACACCCGAAGACGGAAGGTGAACCGCAAGTTCTTCGACGGAGCCGTCGCATTGCTGGACTTCCACCGAATCCATCTGGGCTGGACATGTCCCACAACGCAAATGAACACGACTCCTCTCGACTTCTGCGCCGACCAGTTCGGCTCCACAACTGAGAGATGCTCGTCCCTTTGCCGGCAGACCAGATGAAGACGTCGAGGCTTGGCTCATCCATTACAAACGGGTGAGCGCCGCTAACAAATGGGATGCCGCTTCTCAACTTTGTACGTCGTGTTCTTTCTGACCGATACTGCATTGATGTGGTACGAGAATCGGGAGGAAACGCTAACGACGTGGACAGATTTGTTTCTGAAATCAAAGAGCGTTCGGCGACCCAACAACGATAAAGAAAAGAGCAGAACAGACGCTAATGCAACGCGCTCAAATGCCAGGTGAAACTTGCACGACCTACATTGAGGAAGTCATAAAGCTATGTAGGACCATTGACTCGGAATGTCTGAGGAAGACAAAGTCGGGCACATTCTAAAAGGAATCGCCGAGGATGTTTACAGTTTCCTCATCGCGAAAGACACCTTGACATCTGTCACCGATGTCATTCGTCATTGCCGCAATTTTGAGCAACTAAAGATGAGGCGCATCACGCCAAAGTTCGGCAGGCTGCCCAATGTGACGACCATCGCGAGCATAGACAGCAACCAGGCGCTTGATCTTGCAACATCAATCGGCAGATTATACGTGAAGAACTCGGCCTGTACGCGCAAGTGGCAAACCGCCCAAGCACTCATCCTCCCTATCAGCCACCAGAGTTCGAGCGAAACGTTGCTTCATTCTCCTCGCACCGAGTGGCACGACCTCGCACCGAGTGGCTTTGAGGATTTGATGCCACACCTCAGTATCAGCCAGTCTATACGATAGAAGCCCTGCCTATGACGCGCGATCACGACGAGCACAGCCACATTCTTATACTCAGGGTTCTCAGCCAGACTACGTCCCGCTGCGGCAAGGACAGTATCGACCCTACTACCAAGATGCGACTTACGGCGAATACAGTGGATTCCAGAGAATGGCAGAAACCCGTTCTTCGCCTGATAACGAACTTCCTCGCCGACAGCAGCGGCCCAGGATTCGTTCTGATGATACAGTATAAACCGTGACCCTCCCGTGTGCTACAACTGTGGTTTCACTGGGCATATTTCTCGGTATTGCCCGCAACAACGCCGCCAATCACGAAGGACACCAGCCATGTCTTCGCACTAAGACCCAGTGCTTCATATGACCTGCGGACACCGACTTGTTTCCAAGGGACCGTTTTTTGCACGAGACCAGACGCAGTGATTCGCCAGCATCCGAGCGGAGTTTGACACCACCATCCAACCGTTCTCGTCGCTCGCCGTTTCCCTCTGCGTCGTTTCTTCGCCGCCGCCGGGAACTAGCATCCGCGGCCAATGGAGGTTGAGGTCGCCGGACGGTCTTTTCAAGATATACCTCTGCCTATTGTTATGATCAAAAACAAGTGAATGTGTTGATTGATGGAATACCGACGATGGCGTTAGTTGACACTGGGGCGACTGTGTCTGTGATGAGCCTCGCCTTCAGAAACCGCTTAGGGTCGCAAAGTTATGTTTTCATGGGACGATACAATCACCTTTCGTGGTGTAGGCGGCGAGTAGCTTAATCCTCTTGGTGTATGTGCTGTCAGTGTTTCATTGCTGGAAAAGTATTTGTATCGGAATTTCTGGTTCTATCTCGCTGTTCGCACGATGTCATTCTTGGTATCGATTTCCTGGAGCAATGCGGTGCTTCCGTGGACTGTGGTAGTGGGGAAATATCACTAAACAATTTGTTTCTACCGTCGCTTTCCGAAGAAGACTACCATGGCGAAGACAGGAACACACTTAGTGTGATTGATGAAGTGATGGCACCATCTTGGTGCCTGACACCCGTTCGAGTCTCTTCCACAGCGGTTTGATGATGCTTGTGTTTACCTCGTAGTGGGGCCGCTGCGCAAGAACTGTTTTAAGAAGGACATACTTGTGCCTTGTTCTGTTGTGTGCATGACGAAAGGAGTAGCAACATTGTGGGCGCTGAACTGTTCTGCCACGCCGGTTGTGCTTCCTCGCGGGATGAAGATAGCTCTCTTTGAGGAAGCCTCATACAACTCGATAGCAGCAATAGCTACGGACCTCCCCCCCTCTTCCTCTGCTTCTCTTCTCTACCCTTTTCTAGTCTGTTACAATATATATAGAATGTCTGGTAACTATTATAGTCATAGAACCTAATTTCTTCATCATTATGCTCTGCTGGTACAATTCATTGGTTTCTAAACAGCATGTTAGGAATGTTAGACTAAATACCCCCATATGTGGTGACACTTATTATTGTAACTGCTGTCATTGTGTTTGTAATGCTGTTGAGGTAATTTTCAAAGTCCAGAGTACACCCTGCAAACGTGCTTCATACACTGCTCGTTGAGCATCAAGTTTACGTTATCTGTGTCAACAGTGGTGTTTATACACATGCATATATTTGCAGGCTACCAGTGCCCTGACTGACTGACCACTGCCATCACTATGACAGATCCCCCAAGATCTTTGCTGAATTTGATGGAATAAATTCGACTAAAGGCAATCATATCGGGTTAAAAGTCTCATTATTTTGTAGCATATGGTGCAATTACATGCGCGTCTGTCTGCCTCAGTGGAACAGGGGCTAAGGTGCTCAACTGCTAACCCTAAGGTCACGGGTTCAATGCCGGCTGTGGCGGTCACATTTCGATGGAGGCGTAATTGTAGAGGTACGTGTACTGTGCAGTGTCAGTGCACGTTGAAGAACACCACCTGGTTAAAATTTCCAGAGCCCTCCACTACATTGTTTCTCATTCGTATTGTGGTTTGGGGATTTAAAACCCCAGATAGTATGCATATGCGTGTCGCTGCACCTAAACATAAGTGTCATTTGATATATATCAATGGTATTGTAAAACTGCTGTGGGACAATCTATGGATGTTGACTCTCGTCAAAATGGACATCCTCTAAATATTGTATTAAGATTGCCAAATATTATATCTATATTGTGTGTGGAACTGATGTGGACATTATATGAAGGTCCACTCTGTTCAAAATGGACATCCTCTAGATATTGTATAAATATTAAATTAACTTTGTGGACATCCATTGAAGATAAGAATATCATATGGTTGATATTATTAGATGTCTACTGGACATTACATGGTTGGCTTACGTGTCGGTGGCGCATTTCTCAAGTGACGAATCGGCGCTCCGTGACGCTTGTGCACACTATGTATAGCCTGCTAGCATAGTCCCCAGGCGTATTGTTTTCCTCGTGAACTATTTATTTGTGCTATGTGTGGCAAACAAAACATGCTTAAACCGCAACCACAATAGTTGGTTCAAACGCGAGGAACTGAGCGTCAGGGCGTGGGCTGACGCTCGCGAACGAAGCGCGCTAGCAAGCGGCTGCGCTCTCTGATAAGGTTGTATCATAGAGAAACATACTATATGTAAGTATATTTCTCTCTGGTAGTATCGTAAACTCTTTCAGCCGCCGAGTCGTCAGACTCGCCACAGAACACCTACGAGGCCTCGTTCATGACACTAGGAGAACCGTATGTATAGGGCCAAACCTCATAAGCGCGAAAATGCACGCGACAGCGACGCTATGAGCGACGAAACAGGGCGTTCGCGCGACGTGTCGCGTGCTCGTTTTCGCGCGATCGCTCGGTTCTCCAGATTTGGAAACCGTCGCTCATCGCCCGGAAGTGCTGGGCTTAAGCAGCCAATAGCGAAATACCAGAAAAGACAAAGACTACGGAGGTGCACGTGACCCTGCCCGAGTCACGTATGCGCAACAAGAATTAACGCAATGTTTATCACGCATGTGCATATAAAAAAGTGCTGCAAGGCAATAATAAACACTTTCCGTTTCAATACACAACAATATATCTTATTTTTAAATTGCATACCGCTCGCTAAGCGGTTTTCTTGGTGCGAGTAGACGGCCTCATGCCAGCAACAGTGGAATTCGCTCGCCGAAGCCGTCGCGTGAATGAGGTGGTGTTCTGTGGTTTGCCTGCGCTAGCGACTGATCGCGCGAAGCCGATCTTCGTCGCGTCGCTTGTCGCTGTCGCGTGCATTTTCGCGCTTATGAGGTTATGAGCCACTAATACTATTGGCATTTTGCTATTTTGTCTTTCTCCAGAAGGTACGAATCATAAAGTTTCATTCTAGAATTACTGTGTGAATGAAATGAAACTTTATGAATAATTAAATAAATGAATGAGTGAATGAATGAAACTATGGCATGATTAGATTCCAGCTTGGATGCATATTTATGCTGTTTTTACATTCAAGCATGAACCACCAACCAGCTTTCACTTTTAGATTCCAGATATGTACTTATTGCGATTGAAATACGCTGTGAGAAACTCTGTGGTTACACTGCCATAATGCCAAAAAAAGAAAAAAATACGAGATTTGTTGGTGTTACTACCCAGCAGGCAGTTACTACCCTCAGCGCCCTTAGTGTAATTTGTACCTACTAGGGAATAACTGCCTGCTCTTGGCCCCTTGCCCTAAAGCCAATGGGTCAATGCCCACGCCATGCAAGAGCCATGTGCCAAATACTAGGCTGGCTTGGCCAACGCCACCGGTGAGCGGAGGTTGTCGCCGCACACGCGTCTCACGACCTTTGCGTTGTGTGTGAAGAGGCGAAGGCTGTATGACGAGAGTGTGCTGAATCGTTTTCACAGTTATTCTGTGAAACGAAACAGCTAGCTGCAACGTTTTGGAATTTGCTACAACGAATTGTGAGTATTATCAGTAATGAGCTGATACGGGCTCCTTCGCATCTTTCGCTTTCCTCTGCCAACGTGATCAGACGGATCTTTTCCAGTCGATGTAACACTGTATGCATGTTTATGTCTGTGCATTTTAAAAGTTTATTTAGCGTTACTTTCACGTTTATGCGAGTCCGAAACCAACCTCTACTAGAGTGTACTAGAACAAGCTACCTCTACCAAATATTTAGGCCTAGCCTGACGAAAGTGTTGAGTAGATAATTTTGTAATACGCCCATTTCTTTCATGGCCCGAGAGAGCGATCCTTTCTAGGCATTGCAGCTTGAAATGCCGTGAAAGTGATAATCAAGCTGTCTCAATACTAGAGCTTGCTCCGTGAGCCGTATTGGCAGCAGGCCGGCCGTAGCTGCAAGTTGCGCCGGTTCGGATCACCAGGCGCACGAGCAGGTATCATTCGACATTCGTTACATGATCTCTCTAGCAATACAATATACAGTAAATGCAGCACTGTATCAGGAGCGGGTCATTTGACATCCGCTGGCGAGATCTTGCCGTAGCAGTACAAATTGATTTGTGGGGTTTAACGTCCCAAAACCATATTTGATTATGAGAGACGCCGTAGTGGAGGGCTCCAGAAATTTTGACCACCTGGGGTTCTTTAAACGTGCACCCAAATCTGAGTACACGGGCCTACAACATTTCCGCCTCCATCGGAAATGCAGCCGCCACAGCCGGGATTTGATCCCGCGACCTGCGGGTCAGCAGCCGAGTACCTTAGCCACTAGACCACCGTGGCGGGGCGTAGCATACAAAGAAGGATCATTTGACATCCGCGTATACATGATCTTGCTTATAGTATGCGGACCAGCAGCAGAGACAAGTGTCGCATGAGGGATCATTTGACATCCGCACATGTTGTGTTTCCGTATAAGAAGCGCTCATTTCGGATCTGCTCTCGCAGTCTTTTTCGCAGTACGGGGCCGCGGGAACATGAATTTTGTCGAAGCTGTCGTGGATAAGCTACGTGATGCTCTCGAACTGATGAAGAAACTTGAATCAAGCTGGGAGCACCTCCAATATAACTCCGACACTGTGAGTATCGCTTTCGCATTGTATTTTAGTCGCATAAACGACCAAGTGTCGTAAGCGCATATGCATTTTGTGCATGAGCGTGTTTTGTTCTGACGCTACCACTTGCATAGTTAGCACTGTCCACGAATCGTGTGCAGATTTGTTCGAGCTGCCAAATGTGAAAAAGTGGGTGATAGCCCAGTGAGTAGCTTACCTGATTCCGTTCTTCATATATAGGTGCGAGTTCTCGGTGGCTGGTAAAGTTCGTATTAATTATGGGAGGTGTGTGTGTGGGGTTTGGATGCAGTAGAGCAGGGCTCCTGCATCCGATTCCGACTGCCTGAGGTTCCTTACGTGCATTTAAATGCAAGTACAGTAGCCTCCAGCATACCACCTCTATCAAAATGTGCTGGCGCTGCCGGAATTCGACCTTGCAACGTTCGAGTCGGCAATCGAGCACTGCGGCAGCTAGATTGAAAGTTTATTTTACATATATTGAAGAAGTTTGTGGTGAGGAAGAAAAAAATATCTGCTTATATGACTGTGATGGGGGTAGTGTCCGCACTAATGGCTTGATAAATATGGCAGACAAAGCAAGCTCACACTCATGCTCCTATTTGCATGAATGTGAGCTATCCTATTTGCATAAATAGCAGCATGAAGCTTTGATATGTGACATCCAGCACTAACTAGAAAGTTGTCCAAATGAGAACAATCAACACTAGTGGTAAAAACACATAATTTTAAGTGCTAGGTGCACCTTAAAAGGTCCTTAGGTTGTCAAAACTCAATTATATCACCTCCCCACCCTCACAGAGCTATGCCTCATAATTGTATTGTGGTTTGGGCATGTAGAACTTATCAATCAACTCTGACTTATTAATGACAATCACTGCCAACTGGAATTATTTGCTATCTGATTACCGCAATGATTTTCTGTTTTTGAGATTTAAAATGGACTAATCGTTACTGTTGCTAAAACTAAGTGAACATGTGAGAGTTGAGTGTAGAAAAAAAAAAAAAGGAGGTGCATGCCACCTTCTGGAAAAGCAGTCCAATGGTTATTGGACTAACAAGGTAGCAGCTGTTAATAAACATGATTTGACAGAGGACAAAAGTTGTTACTGTTCTGACTTTATCTTTCTGTTTTACTTTTTCAGCTCAAGGATGACATAGAAGATGCTTGCAGCGACCAGATAGCTGTTGTTGGTCAACGGAAGAACAGATTGTGCTTCGAGGTTGATTTGCTGGTTTCTGAACCGAAGAGGCGAATTCAGTCAGATTTGGCCAAGTTGAACCATTACCAAAGCAGCCTGCGGTCATTGTTTCAGCTCTACAATGCTGGCAAACTCAATGATGAGAATGCCTTCTCCTGTCTGCAAGTTTTTGAGCTGTGAGTTCAACATTACACTTGCGCCATGGAAATTCTTTGTTGATCTTGATTCAAAAAGCACTCTATGCTTGGGATGTAACATTGAACTGCTGTTTTGTAACTGCAAATAAATATTCATGCAGCTTTTTGAAACCGACGCAAAAACAGCATGTACTGATGAGGACAGACTGTGATAACAGACACAGGCACTGAGTCCGTCCTTGTCTGTATGTGCTGTTTTCACCTTGGTATGAACAACCAACTGGCTAGAAATGTGTTATTCCAGCTTTTGAAACTTCATATAAAAGTGCACACACCAATGATTAGTCAATTAGGTAGGAAGAAAAGTTTCCACCATTAATTGTTTATTTCAGGAGACATGCCCATTCATATTACTGTATTTACTCGTTTAATGATCCCCCCCCCCCCACTGTTGTCCTTAAAAGAAAATACTTTTTTAAAATTTCTGTGTTCATTTTATTTCGGTATGATAGCTAGTGCTGTAGACGATGGAAACAATGTTAAATCAAGCCATTATATCACAAAATAACACAATAAAATTCAAACAGTTTTGCGAGCAGGAGCCGAACGCGGACGACGGCAGTCAAAGTTTGAAAGTTGTGCCTTTTACGGCAAAGCGCCATCTGTCTAGTGCAGGAGAAATCTCTTTGCTGATAACGCTACGCAAGTACAGCGGCACACTAGGCAAAGTGCATGTCCTGCAAAAATGGCGCACGCCGCGCGCTCGCCGTCCCAAAGATCATGCGAAACGCAAACCGCACCAATGGCGCGTCGGGCATCCGCAAGGTTTACCGCAACGTTTGTGCGCCCCATTCGGCGCTGCGTTTTTTGTTGTCGGTGTTTGTCGTGTGAATTTAGTTGAGACACCTGCTGCACAGGGCACGTTCGGGCCGATACGCTAGCTACAGAGCTGGTTGCAAGCAGCGCATTAGAACCAAGTGGCTGGACGACACTTCGGCGTCGATCTGTGTGCTTTCGTTATGGGAGGAAACAAAAAGAGTTTCAGGAGCCACAGAAAGATTGGCGCGGCATTTCACGGGCGAAAACAAACAAAGTTGTCACGTGAAATTTCGGTGTTATAATTCCAGTGACTTTTTTTCTCTCGCGTAATGACCCCCCCCCCCCCCCCCCGATTGGCATCAACTTTTCTGAAAAAAGGTGGGTTGATTACGCGAGTAAATGCGGTTAGTATTATAGCCAAAGAGACATAATGTACACTGATGCAGATTCATGGAGTACACTGCATTTCTGAGTCAAGCCGAGTGATACATTGAGCTTCATCGATTTACCAAGTCCCGGATCACTCGCGGACGGCCGGCGGACGCCTTGGCTCATAGGCGGCAACGTCACATGCACGTGATCTAAAAGTTCCGAGCTAGCCCGAGCGGCCTCAGGCCATCTGCGCGCCTGATGCTGACTGCATCCGTTGTGGCGTCTGCTATGCCAGGCTATGCCGTCTGCTCCCTCCATAGCTGTCACACAGGCCACAATACTGACCCAGTTCCAACCTTAACAGCAGTTAGGTAGTGAATTATACCTATTTCTGTTCTGATGCAACTTACTGTAAGTGAACTACTCGAGCGAGTGTGCATCGTAGACTGGCGGCGGTCGTTCCACCACTGTTTTTCCTAGCGAGTATAATGCGTGGTTTGCCCGACCTTCGGGAATACGCACATGCTCAACGTGGCTCTGAACACACCGATGATAAGAACTGGTTGCGCAAACAAATGCGAAATCCAAAAACCATGTGAGAAGTGACAGAAAGCAAGAGAGAGCAAGAGCGCATCGGAAAATTTCCCGTGTCTAACTTAAGATGGCTGCACAGCATGCGCACCGCGCTGTCGCCTGCCAGCTGCCCAAAAGAACTGTTCGGCGGTCCCCGGGCCGCCCGCCAGGCTGCCAGGCAAGCGAAAAACGAACATGCGCCCGAGCGATCCCGGACCAGTGGGCGGAGCTTCCAGCTGGTTCCCTAGAAAAACGAATGTGGCCTGCGTCCGGAGCCGTCCGGGTCGTATAAATCGATGATGCACATTGTGCTGTCGTTGGGGGGATCACCAACTGTGGTTGTCACCCATTTTTCATTTTGCTTAATGGTGCTCTTTCTTTAGTGACTAAGTTGGGAGGGCCCTGTTCTTCCTTCTCAGTGCAGCTGTGGGGTGTCTTCATTCAACTCGCACTTTTCGTTACTGCGCGCATGCCCCAGTTAGTTTTTTCCCCATTGATTTTTATCAATGTGGACAGTGGAGCACTAACATGCCACAATGTTTCTATTTCAAAATGAGAAATGTAATTATTTTTCAACGAAACTTGGAAGTAATTTATTTTCATTGCTCCTGTACAGAGGTCAACACCCTCGTCTATATGCTGGGCATTGCGCTCAGGTCTGCACAGCCACATTTAGACATAACACGGGGTTTGATAGTAGCCACATCTGAGCATGTGCAGCCCCCACACGATGCACATAGCCTTGAATTCTTTCTTTTTGTTTATCGCCCTGGTTGCAACAACCCTTTTGTGTGTCAGAAGCACTGTCCTGTATATATTATATGGGGGAGGGGGGAAACACCTTGGGCAATCAGCTGGCTTGCCACCTGATGCAAGCTCGGCGGTAAGATTATCCTTAGTTAGCAGTGTCATCTTTCGGGGCAGTCAGTTTCTTTTTTTTAATTAATTTATTTTATTTAGAAAATACCCAGTCACTTAAGACTGGGCAGGTGGGAAACATTACGATAAACAATGTATGCAAACATTGAGAAAAATTACTGTAATAAACAAATTTGCAAGAATACAAAATGGGTGATACAAGAATGTAACAAAAATATAGCAAATTATGCATAAGAATAATAATGGTAGAAACGAAGTGATGCCTTAAAGCACGAGAAAAATAATATACACATGTGCACAGCCAAATTATACATATAGAAACGCCTGAAGTATTACAAGTACTGAAGACTAAAAATCCGGAGTAATATTGCATGAGAACAAAGCACAGATATTATAACACGCACTAGAAATATGAAGAAGGTGCACCTATGTCATGGTTTGGATGCTCTGAGCAACGCTTTCTTGAAGTCATCACATAAAACGCATCAGGTGGTAGCTATTCCATTCAATAATTGTTCGGGGGAAAGAAGGAATTTTTTAACAATGTTAGTCCGAGTGGAGTATGGTAGCAGGCAGGTTATGCCATATGACGATGCCTAGATGTGCTAGGAGAAAATGGTTGTATGTATTTGTGGACAGGAATATTCAGCTTACCATTAAAATGGAATGCAAAAATTTCAGGCGTGCGATTCTGTGGCATTCAAGCACAGGGATGTCGTCTTTCATTAATTTGTGGGAGAATCAGTTTGATTTTAAACTTGGAAAAAATAAAACGTACAATGCTTTCTTGAACCTTCCAAGTTTTTTAAATATCGTCTTTGTAAAAAGGGTCCTAAACCACTGATGCATATTCTAGTTTAGGCAAAATATACTCGTTGTATACGAGCATTTTAATTTCGGAGGGCTTTTTTTCAATTTGTGCCTCAGAAAACCAAGCTCCCAAGAAGCTGATGCGCAGACATTTGTTATATGCGAGGACCAAGAAAGTGTGTTTGTAATGGTAACGCCTAGGTATTTATATTTATTTACTTCCCGTACTGGCCTTCCATGGATGTGATAAGTAAACGTGAATGGCTGTTTCTTTTTTTGTCACACGTAGGAGTATTGTTTTGTTGCGTGCCTGTGTGTGCTTACATCACCAACACCATTTGATTGATTGATATGTGGGGTTTAACGTCCGAAAACCACCATATGATTATGAGAGACGCCGTAGTGGAGGGCTCCGGAAATCGCGACCGTCTGGCGTTCTTTACGTGCAACCCAAATCTGAGCACACGGGCCTACAACATCTTCGCCTCCATCGGAAATGCAGCCGCCGCAGCCGGGATTTGAACTTGCGATTTGCAGGTCAGCAGCCGAGTACCTTAGCCACTAGACCACCGCGGCGGGGCAGCACCATTTCTGATGGCCAGAACCATTGATGGTAGCCATGGCAACAATAAAGGAAAGAAAATGCAAGGCAGCCATGTCACAGGGGAAGCATATGCTGGAATTCGACTTATCTCAAATAATGTGTTATCTCTAAATGTCTTCTGTACAACCCCGAGTCTATTACTCTGCCATTCTAGGCTAACTTGAAGCTGTGTACGTATTGCTCCATACCCTCCGATTCGTGGCAGTGCAACGAGGGTGCCACTGCGAAGTTGTGTTTGCAAGTATTTTGCTTTTACTGACTGCAGATAACTGAAAGACACATGAAAAACAAAACTCATGGCATCCATGACATCTTTTCGAGTCTTGCTATCACATTCTGTTTTTGCATTTGACAAAAGTGTGGCCTATGTTGCCCAAGAGTTGATTTGGGCGATGGTCAGCTGATTTCTGCTCCATTCAGAGTTCCCTTGCTTATTTACATTCCACTGCGCATTAAAAATTCAATACGGGGTTTCTACGGCACTGATATGCTGTTTGGGTCAACTTAACGCGGGCATGTCCGGTAAATGTGCTATTCACGATTCCTACTTGTAACATTGTTTATCATGGCTCCCCTGAAAAGGCTGGCAATAGTGAGCTCCATGAAATGAACAACGTAGAAAGTGTAGCTGTGGCAGCAGCAATGAAAGCTTATTATTGTTTATACTACAAGGGCAAGTGTTTGTATCCTATAAAAGACCGGTACTGCTTACTGTGTCTCACTACAGGTAAGTGGAATGATTTTACAGAAAAAACAAATATATTACATTCTTTGTCAGCTACATATGTATTCTGCTTTTTTTTTATTGTGACTTTTGCTTCTCATTTAGCCTGTATTCATGTGTCTATCATTGCATGTTTCTATACAGGCCTAATGTGACAATAGAAGTTCCCCAGCTGCTGTTCGCCAAAACTGGTCAAGAAGAGCTGGAAAAAGCAGCGAGAGGCTTTGGCTGTGCCAAGCTTCACCCTCCCAGTGCACTTGGCGACTTCGTGGCAAGTGAAACGAGTCTTTTCAGTGGGGAATGTTTGAAAGACTCGGAGTCAAATGAAACGTGGCTGCTATGTGATATGGTATGTATGCATGCGGTGACAGGATCATGGAATGTCGGTTAGCATTCTTCTTGTTGGCCTTGCTTAGCATTAAGCATCGATTTTTCTGTGAATAGATTGTGCTTTTTTGAAGTTTGGTGCTGTGCCTTCCAAAGTGCATCTGTGTATGATATACTAAATTATTTAAAACTCAGGGCTACAGTTCTTGCAGAAGTCAATATTGGTCAAAGTGTGTGGAATGCCCTTTTGAGTTGAATGCAGCAAAATCTCATTAAACAGGGCTTTGAAATAATTGGCAATATATATTCCCGAATTTCGTTACTGAGAGAAATGTATTTGGTTTCACCAGGCAAGTATAAAACAAACCATGTTAGAGGCAGTTCTATTGAAAGGAATACTAAACTTTCGTTGCAGAGATTTTCAGTCCAGTTGAAAGCTTGCGGCCTGGTATGGTTGACACAACCACGTTTTCTGGCAGTTGACACAACCATGTTTTCTGGCAGAAACAGTGAAAATAATCAATTTAATGCATTTCTCACAGACTGCTTTGTTTAGTGGCTGCACTGTGAAATTGAAAGAGGTCATTAAGGGCACAGGGTAGTATGAAATTTGAAAAAAAATAAATCACTTTTCAATTTGGGAAGGGTGTGCCTTTCAGCGTATTTTCACATTCATTTCTTTTCATAAAACAGTATTTTTTCTGGCTGAAAGACCAGCTTTTCCAAAAGCAAGTAGTGAGTGAATGCACTCTCTAGGGCAAGCCCCTAGTCAGCTGTGTATAAGATGTTGTCGGGTAACTTCTAAGGCAGTCCGAAGACGCCGTGTGCCTTTATATTCGCACTTGGTCTTCGGAGCAGGTCAGTTCGAGCACTATCGCAAGGGTTCATGCAGGTCCTTGAAAACCCTTGAAAACCCTTGAATTTAAAAACTTTGTTTTCAAGGGCCTTGAAAATGCTGGAATTTTTGCAAGTATTTGAAAAATGTGTGAATTTACTTTTTTTTAAATTTTTCATAAACACTGTCATACATTCACGCTCCATTATTTGTGATGCTGTAATTGTAGCAGGTGGCAATATGTAATGTGCCTCTTGTAATAGAATTGAGAGTATCAATAGCTTCTGCAAGGAACCAACTCTGCATTTTAATTTATAGTAATATTTGGGGTTTTACGTCCACAAACCAAGAGATGATCGAGAGACACCGTCGTGGAAGGCTCTGGAAGTTTTGACGATCTGGTGTTTTCTAACATGCCCTGACATCGCACACTATATGGGCTCCACTATTTCGCCTCTATGGAAATGTGACTGCTGCGGCCGAAATTGAACCCGCGACGATCAGGTCTGCAGCCGAACACTATAATGACTACCTCACTGTAGGGACAACACTGTGCATGTTTGGAAACTCAAAAAAAAAAAAAAAAAACGCAGGATCAGTAGGACAAGAAATAGAAATGTTGCATTGAGGAGGAAATCGAAATGCTTAAATTGCCCCGCCGCGGCGGTCTAGTGGCTAAGGTACTCGTCTGTTAACCTGCAGTCGCGGGATTGAATCCCGGCTGCGGCGGCTGCATTTCCGATGGAGGCGGAAATGTTGTAGGCGCGTGTGCTCAGATTTGGGTGCACGTTAAAGAACCCTGGTGGTCGAAATTACTGGAGCCCTCCACTACGAGGTCTCTCATAATAATAGCGTGGTTTTGGGACGTTAAACCCCACAAATTAAATGCTTAATAAAGAAAAAGAAACTAGACGCCGCTGTTCAGAAAGGAAATTAACAGCTACAGAAGACTCATATGCAGCAAGGCAGAGACAATTAGCGACCTGACATGCATGAACACTTTTGGACTGCTGCCAGACCAAGCAGCAGGAGATAGTGACTATGAAATTCAGAAAAAGCAACAAGGCGTTGTGTAATAAGTTGCTGTTCCTTGGTTTTTCCTACCTGAATAAGAAGCCACTCTCCAGTTTACGAATCTCCCAAATCTCAAGGTCTCCAGCTTCACAAATCCACATTTCAATTTTCAGAGTCTCTCACGCCACGCCTCTCAAATGATTTGAGAGCGTGGCAAATGCCAGCGTGCACTTTATAATTGTTTGCTAAGTGGGCTGGTTCAAAATACAATTTTTTTCCCCTGTGGCCTGCTCCAAACTTAGATTTTTGTGCTCCAAAAGTGTCATTTTGCTGCTACAAAAATTTCTCCAAATTCTATTTCGGCTGTAGCCACCTCTGTGTGGGGCATGTCCTCTGCACCACAATGTGCAGAGGAATGCCCCACATCACTTGACTGCCATGCATAAGTTGAAGCCACGCATAACTTGACTCTTCCGTTTCCAGAGGCCGACAGCACCCTGCCAACAAAAGCACTGTGATAGAGGTATAAGTGTCCCTGCCACCTGTAAGTCCTACCACTCGTAAGTTGAAAAAGAACTTAGTGTGGTTGGGCATTTGATGTCTTGCAAGTATCAGTAGAATCAACAATTGCAGTCTCAGGCTTTCCACAATCTCTCTAGGCCATCCCGTGACACGCTCTTCTCTGCACTGTGGTGGTGCACAGAGAACACGTGACCTGACTTGTTGCTTGATGGCTGAACAAGAAAAACAATTTATTGTTTGAAATTGCTTTCGTAATTAATCTGAAAGTGGGCTGGCATTGTTGTCGTACTGCTCGAACTTTCCTATTCATAGTTGCCATCTGTGGGTGCAATGGTGCTGGCCCTGTTCAGGCTCACTCTGACCAGCTTGTGATGAAGGGTGTGTTTTTGTTAAGAAATTGCACCTCTTGTAGAAGGTTTCAGACAAATTTTTTCTAGAAGCAAAAAAAGAAAGAAGGCATCATGAGTATGCTGTGTGCAGATATAATGTTATGGGTGTAGACTGTATTCTTGTTTTCCACATCCACATACAAATCAAGGTTAACTGATAGATTGGTTTCGCTTCTGTTACACAGATTGTCAGGTTTGTTCTAGAAATTTTTGTGCAAAATTGCATTTTTGGCCTGTTTAGCAGCACCCCAGAAAAAATATACATTTTCCTACTGTAATCTACTGGAGGTCTGTGTGAACAATGCAGCTTACCTGGAGTTAGTGGTGGTATTTACATAAGTGATCATTTTTAATTTAGTAGCAAGTTTGTAAACAGAGTGCTTAGTTTTTTGCAGTAAGTATGCTATTTTGATGACTGCAATGTGCTGACTCTGTATTTTAACTGCTTTATAGTTTCTTCGGGGACATTTTAAATTGTAATCTCTCATGTGACTTTTCAAAATACCTGTTGCTGATAATGGTTACAATGAAGCAAATCGTTCTGTGCTATCTCCTGTTGCAGGACAACTACAGTGGTGAGGATGAAATGGTTGCTGCCTCCTTGCCAAAGTCCCTCTCGGCGAGCATCCAGTCCATTGAGGCAGTGTCAATAGATGAGGATGAACCAGCTGGCACTTTTCACAAACTGGTTTGTACCATATTTCAGTTTCATAAGTGTCAAACAAAAGGGCCTTGCCATTATGCTATATTTAATATACATGTCTTTTAAAAAATTTGAAGCATATTTTGTGCTAGGCTATTATTGAATCCTAGTATTGAAACCTTACTTAAGTCCTCTAGAACCAATCCATTTTCGAGACACTTGAGAATTTTAGAAAAAACATCATTACTAGAGGCCGGATTTTTAGGTACTAAAAAAGTATGTTTTAGGTGCCAAAGACAGGGTAAAACACAGTTTTAGGGCCCTAAAAATCATAATTATAGGCACAATATTCTCTACAAAAATTGAAATATCGCAAAACAATGACGTCAGTGACTTGTATGTATGGCAAAGAAGCAGAAAATATTGTCAAGATAGCAGAAAGGTACCGATTGAAAATAGGCATGCATTTTCCCGTGCAATTCGCAATACTTAGTCTTTCGCTTATTGTCTAGTATTGTGCGTAAAGTGTCCACCATTCAATTAACACTCTCCTGGGTCTCTTTCCTTTCATTGTGGCTGGAAGGGGCAGCGCAAGAGAGCAAATAACCAGACCACTGATACCCCTGAAGAGAGGGATTCTAGCTCGAATCGCGTAGGACCAATTTCTCCCTATCGGAGGACCAGACCACTAATACCCCAGAAGAGAGAATGCTAGGTCTAATCGCGTAGGACCAATTTCTCCCCAATCGAAGAACGCCTTAAAGGGCCCCTCACTAGGGTTCGGGCATTTCGAGCTGACAAGCGTAATGGGGAACTGGGCACTCCGGATTGTTCCTGTGAAGATTTGAAAAATTATATGTCGCGGAAAAATGCTAAATTTCTAATGAATGCCACTTGGCCTTTTCAAGGGTGTGCGCCCCAAGATCTAGGATTAACGTACAGCAAGGATGGTCCTATTTTTACATCTGTCATTTACGTTGACAAAGGTGGGCTGACGTTGCATATAGTACGCTCTTCATCAAACTTCTTTAAATGCTAGCTATATCTAGAAAACAGACGAAAAATGTCCCATCTCCTGATTATATCCTGCATTTTAAACGGTACCCTCATTAAGAGCGTTGCACGTGACATTGCTTGGCATGTGCAATTTGTGTGTTCTGGTGTGTAGCATGAATGAGGAGTACTTTGGTTTGGGCTAGCCGCTTCATATCATTTTGAAGGGAAGCGCGAAGACAAGAGGAAAAAGAAAGACAGCGCTCTTTGTCTCTGTCTTTCTTTTCCCTGTGTCTTTGCACTGCCCTTTCAAAATCAGTATAATGATGAAAGCTGAGAAAAATAATAAAACACGCCAACAGAATCTCAGCTTGTTATTATATTTATTTTCATTTTCAATAGCATTGAGATGCTATTCACTATCGGCCCTCGTTTTGCGTCCGCCTCGGTGGACCAGTCGCTATAAGGTGCTCTGCTGCTGACCCGACGCCACGGGTTTGATTGTGGCCACGACGGTCGCATCTAGACGGAGGCGAAAAAGCATATGCCCGTGTACTTGCGCGATGTCACTGCACGTTAAAAAATACCAGATGATCAAAATTTGCGGAGACCTCCACTACGACATCCTCATATTCATATCGTGTTTTGTTTTACGTAAAATCACACATACTACCACTGCTACTACTAATATATAACTACAGTCGAGCCCATATATAATGGCCCCACTTAAAACGAACTTTCGCTTAAAACGAACAATATCCGATATAAATTGGTTAAATGGCACAAAATCAAACTTACAACGAACGTCTCCAAGTGCCGCTGATTCGTGTTACAGGCGAACGGAGTCAGCGGTCTGGCCGACTTCTTGGGACCCAATTTCAACCACCGATCAGGCATCGGCGAGGTGCCATACAATTCTTATTGTTAAACGACGACCCTGCCTCCGCGACCCTCTAGTTGCGGTTCTCCCCACCCGTGGAGGAAAGAAAGCCGTTCCTTCCTCCATGCTCTGACTGCTTTTTCTATGCACCCCCCTCCGTCCTTTGTCTCCCCCTACTCTGAGCACCCCGTATCACCAGACGAGGCCCGTGTTTTCACACTGCCACCGATCTTTTGAAGACCGGTCGGCCATCTACCCTGTTTCGATCGCAGTACTGTCGTCGGCGTCCGCCGGCCTGGAGTAACCAACTCATTTGCATCATTGTCGGCCACCGACTGTATCCGATACTCTGCGTCTAGTGCACGCGTGTACCTACCGCCACCAACTCTGATAAGTTTGCGATTCGTTTCGTGTTAGGACTTCTTCTCGCTCACTCGCACATCGGCTCAGCATGCTTCTGCGTGCATACGGAAGCGTGAAAACGGCTGTTGATTTGCACGGAACAAATCACGAAATATCGAAGTTCTCGTGAGGCCACGCAAACCCGCGGGCGCAACAAAAACGATTTTTTGACCACGGGCCGCCGATTCTTCGAACATCGCGGCACGTACCGATCCAGGCGGCCAAGCTTTGACTTCTGAGCGCGCAGGTACTCTTTCCAAGTTTTTCTACGTGCGAGTTTTTGTGGACCTTTCAAGCAAGCTATCCATCCTGCCTCCTTCTTGTGTGTTTTGGTTTTCAAGGTCGCCCTCCCACCGCATCCTCCCCTCTCTTTGTCGCAACTCCTTGCCCTTCTCTCGCAAGTCTGCTCTCCTCTCTTCACAACCCCCTTCGCCCGTCTCCACCGCTCCGCCACGCCCGCCATGCTGGCCCAAATTAGTTTCGTTGTCTGACTGGAAATGGGCCCAGAGCTGTTCCACGTGTTCTGGCATGTGTGTCGCATGTGCGCGTCTTGCTCGCTCTTGGTGTGCGTGTGTGGTCATGATGGCCGACGGGAGGACTAGCACGCTTTTTCGTGCCGCTCAACAAAACGTTGGAAGCGTGACCGCTTGGCTAGAGTGTAATCCGCGTGTTAGGTGCCGCGTTGCGGAGTGCTTGCTCATAGCTGTTGACCACCTGACAGCCAACTTGCCGCTTCGGGCGTCCCGGTATTCAGCTGTGGAGATGGTGAATATTTCGTAGGTGGCGGTGACGTACATGCCTGCGAGACTATTTTCGCGAGGCCGACTTTATCGACGTCGGGCCTGATGCCGAGCCTGAAGCTTCCGAACAGGACCACTGTGGCGGCGATTTGTGGCAGCGCGTCAACTCAGACCTGGGAGAGCGGGTGGGACATCTGTTGCAATGGTTTAATTACGGCCGATGATGATGCCGACACTGCGGAACCGTGCACGGATTAGGGCATTGTGAATGAAGTATGTGGCGAGAGCGATTTGGAAGAATTGGATTGCGAGAACGAAGAAACTTTGGAGCCACTGCCTCATGCAGCTTATGCCACGGGCCTCGGCGAACGAGCCCCCTGCCGTTTTAAATGAACTCGAGACCGCCCTTATCGCTTCTGCTCTTCGAAAGACGTGCATCACGGACTTTCTGGCGCAAAAAAAGTTTGTTTTCACTCGCAAGTTTTTTTAAAAGCTGTGTTTCAAATACTACGAACTTCGGGATACAGCGAACGGATGCCGCGTCACACTCAGGTTCGTTATAAGCGGTCTCGACTGTACTACTACTACTACTACTACTACTACTACTACTACTACTACTACTACCCCTCTTGCTTGCATTTATCTTCTCGTCGTTCCTGTATCGTGCCTTCGCCAACCCTGACAACGCTTAGCTTGTGTTTGGTGCGTCATCTCTGACCGCAGTTTCAGCGGAGCGACGGGGTGTATCACTGTCACGTTAATGATCAATGCCAGCCTTTCCAAAAGTATATGCATTGACTGATCTATTCCACACAAACGGGTAATACAGAACAGAGAACGCTGGAACGACGCATCAATGGCATACGTGCACGAGTAGGCTGGGGCACGTCATGCGCGTGACCTTGCTTACGCATGTTGTTCTTGGTGCGTATATGTCATGTGATCCTCCAGCTCCAATACCAAAGAGAGCAGGGAAGGAATTAGGTTCGCGATAGTTACATGGGGCAAGAGGCAAGGGATTCAAGTTGGCCTCTTCGCATCATGGTTTTGTGGCTCATAGCGAACCAATTTGAAAAAATCACCGTGGTAGAACGTTTTTCATTGGGCATGCAAGAACACTTAGTGTCTAACTACAACTTATTATATCGCCCCGCCGCGGTGGTCTAGTGGCTAAGGTACTCGGCTGCTGACCCGCAGGTGGCGGCTTCAACTCCGAATTGCGGCGGCTGCATTTCCGATAAAGGCGGAAATGTTGTAGGCCCATGTACTCAGATTTGGGTGCACGTTAAAGAACCCCCAGGTGGTGAAAATTTCCGGAGCCCTCCACTACGGCGTCTCTCATAATCATATGGTGGTTTTGGACGTTAAACCCCACAAATCTATCTACAACCTATTATATCACCTAGAGAGGGACGCCTAAAAAGTAAATTACAAACGAAACAAAAGCCGCATGCACATCACATTTTTACCCGAAGGCGCTGCTGCAGATGGGTTACAATGTCAAAGAAAACACGCCTTCATTGACACAACACACTTTGTTCTCTTTATAAAACATTTCATTCAGTCGTGAATATAACAAAAACAAATTAATATAGAAAATTAGATCTGATACGACATTCTAAAATCTCAATTACCCTTGCACGAAGAGCACTGTTTAAGTATATTCATTTTCGAATAGAGTTTTACCATGAAATGCTTGACGTAGGAGCTTTAACTGCAGTTTAATTCGACGGGATGATAGTAATTTCTATCCTTGTTCATTTTTCATATTGTTACAGCTGTCATTGTTGAGTGATGGCTTAGGACAAACCTTGAGGCCCTGTTCTGTATTTTTTTCATGTTTGTCAAAAGACATATGACAAGGAATCTCTTACGCAACAAGCGTACTCAAGCATACAGTGATACAGTGATTGTGTGCTAAATACACTGTTGATTGTGAACATGTCGGCGCCTGTCTCAGGCTTCGCTGTATAATGTATAACGATTTGGCGGGCTTCACCGCCACGGAATCAACATGAGCATTCCATGAGTGACTCTCCGTGGTTTTTATTAATTTTCCACCTACCCACGGCTGAACAGAAAAACCTGCTGTTCCTTTCCCACCGCAACACCCAGGATATCAAGGCTTAGTTCCTTCAGGACAATGGAGAGCTGTCTGTGGAAGGCGGTTGCCACATCTTCGCCCATAGATACACTTTTATTTTCTTACCCCATCTTTAATTCTCTCTCCTCCTTCCCCTGCAGACGCTGAGACGTGTTTCCACTTAAGGCTGCGAATGGAGTTTTTTGCACTCTTCATGCTCCTCCTCGAATTGCTCGCATCATGTCAGCTTCGTCTTCTTTGAACCTTATAGTGTTTGGAAATATCAATGTTGCCTTTTTTACATGAATAACAGTCTCACACCACGCTCTAAAACGAAATTTGGGTTTGAATAGCGCTCATATAGGCCCTCATTTAGAAAATAGGCATTTATAGGCACGTAGGCACAAACACCCGAAATAGGCATTTATAGGCACTATAAAAACACCATAAAAACCTTTCTTAACCTCTAATTCATGCTCATATATCAAAATGGCACGATAGGTACGCAAGGAACAAAATAGGCATTTGCCTATAATCCGGTCTCTAGTCATTACTGTGCCAGGTAGGCACAGAAACCAAGTGAGGCATCAAGCATCATGTGCACAGTGCTTGCAGTACTGTTTGTGAATAGTTTTGGTCTGACTCAGTGCAGCAAACAACCCTAGTTTTTGTTGATGTAAAATTTTGTTGTAATACTTAATTCCGTAACTGCACTTCCAGGATGAAAACCTACGGAATGGAATATTTTTATCAGAACTTTTGCATAGAGCCCTTTTGTTTAGCACTCTTCTAAAATCGAGTAAACTTGATATGAAGATGAAAATAGGCCAACTATGAAGCAAAGGGATGGAAATGCATCCGAACTCCGCTACAACAAATGCCGCTTCAACAAAATTTCCACTACAATGAAAAATTTACAATTCCCCGTCAGCAGTCCATAGGAGTCAATGCATAAATATTGTCGCCACAACCAACGCTTTTTCTTTGATCGTCTGTTCAACGAAATTTTACGATGCAATTCCAGGCTCGGATACTTATTGCTATGCAGTAAACCCAATCTTTGTTAACATTTCGATGCATTTTCAGAGCCTCAAAACACTTCAACGATGTTTAAAACGCATTGGCACCACCAGAAACCGCCGCTATACCACCCCTGTTCAGCCAGCATGGGCGCTGCCATTGCCCGATAGTGATGGCAATGAGACTGCCCTGCTTTTGTTTTGCCATTGGCTTGCTTTTGAGCCGCAGATGATCCGAAGCTGAAGCTCAGTCGCTCAGTTCATGGTTTCCTTCTCGCAGCTGCTGGGTGCAACCGTGGCATGATGCCTTTTCAGATTCAGAGTCCGGCATTCAGCATTTGTTTGCGCTGGCCAGTGGGGTTACTAATCGGAGCTACTGTTCGTCCACATTATCAAGAAAATCGGCTATCCACAAGTGATAGATGATAAGAATGGCATAGAGTAATGCAGAAGTCGCCGCTCCACAATACCCTGCCTCCATCTTGGCGTTGTCGGATATTTTTGACGGCGGACAGCTGCTGGTGTTAACGTGTTAATGCAACTGTTTCATTTGTTCACGGAAACGGTTTTAGGTGTTGCTTCAGCATGCTTTTCACCATGGCCTTGCTATGCATGGGTGTGAATCACGTCGGGACGGCGCTGGGAAAGAATGGGAAGCAGCGGACATTTTTCGAATATTAAGAATGAACGTTCCTTTGTTTTGCTAGCTCAGATCAGCGATATTTTTTTTCGATTTAACTACAACGAAATTTTTGCTTCAACAAAATTTTTTCCGCACCCCGTCAGTTTCGTTGTAGCAGGGTTCGACTGTAGACAATTGCTGTTCAAGTAGTTCATGGCTTCATGCGTATTAGTACTATAAAGGATGGTGCTGTAAAATTTTCACTTGGTGAAAGATAATCCAACAAGGGTTGTGGGGGAATTCAATCTAACGGTAGTGTGGTTGTGACCAGCACTCTATTTGTTTTATTCGAAATCTTCGATGCATGTTCACAGAAAAGCATAGATAATTTGGGATAGTTCTCTGGTCTTGGTGATCATGTGCCTTATTTAACACAATCGGAACAAGTTGGTTCTGATTGCTTGCTTCATGTGTGAGATGTGAAAGGATGAAAGTGGTGCTAGCAGCTAACCAAAATGAAGCAGAGTTTGCATAACCTTAAATGTAGATGGGAATTTTCTGTGAACCCTGGAATGTTTAATGGCTGTTTGGGCCTTCATTATTCTTGCTTTTACAGTTGCCCGTGGCTTGAAATTACAGGGAGCTGAGTCATTTGGTGTGTATTTGTTCTAAAAGAGACAGGGCGTACAAACACGGACACAAGGAATTTCACAAAGCCTGTGCAATGCCTGAGGCATTGGCCACATTTTTTCGTGATTGCTTGGTCCCCTTTGATTGTAGTGTTGTTAACCTCAGTTTCATCCGCTGCAGTTGCGAAGAATTAAGTTTCACTTTGACTCCATAACTTCATAACTGCACGATTGCCAACCACAGTCTATTGCACGGCCATTGCAACAGACAGTACACGCTTTCAGAACCATTTGGTCACCCTCTGTGTTCACAGCACTTGCATATATAGGTGCTTGATCAGGCTTTTATGTACAGAGTGGCAACTTGGATCAAATGTTCAGGTAATTTACCACATCTAGGGGTTCCATTCCTCCAGTTATACATGTGATTGTGCTGCCACCTGTATATTAATAAGTGAAACTAAAGGTCATTCTGACAAGATCAGTATTTTGGTGTACCTTACTAGTTTTAAGAGTCTGTGGTTTCTCAAAATGGTGATTTCAGGTGGAAGATCACTCTAAAAGGAATCATATGATGGATTTGGAGCAAGACCAATCATCTTGGCTTCTGCCGAACCATGGATACAGTGGCAAGAATGAACTCAGACAGACAAAAACGTTTTGTGAAACGAAGACATCAGACATAAAAATGAAGTGGCTAACTGGCCACTTATACCAAAAGATTGTGTCACATGCGAAGATGACTTGGTCATGAGCAAGACATCCAATGGGAACTCAGAGTGGCTCATTACTAGTAAGGCCAAGCCTATGCCGACAAGCTGTTCATATACAACAACAATAAGAGAAATGTTCAAGCCTTACTTTGACCATGGAAATGACAGTATCTGGATTGCAAATGCACTATAATTTTTATACATGATAGATAAAAAGAGGAAATAAAGGTGTATCCCTACTTAGCTGTTATATTTTTATGTAAGTTGTCCGTGCCTTTCTTGTTTTTATATTTATGGGCATACCATAATATTTCATTTGAGGTGGTTCTTACAGTCCCTGCATTACATAGGAAGAGCTCATGTGACTTGACTGTCTGTTTAAGCAGAATCCACAATTTTAAGACAGTTGGAAGTATGTCTTCTTTTGAGAGATTGCAACAACTTCGTCTGTGGTGGCTAGTTGATATCGTGTGGCCAATACACTCGCAAATGTGTCCTAGCACTATTCAAGAGCAGCAAGGAGTTACGCAAAGCCGCTCACTTAAAAAGAGTATAAGGCATTCACACGTACAAATTTCAAATGCATCATTTTAGAACTGGGTCGCAGTGCTGTATAGCTCGAACTCATGGGATCAGTAACGGTTACAACTGGCTGCTGCACAAACGCAGGGAAGTGTGCACTAGGCTATGAAATCAGCCTGTGTGTGTATTTGTCATAACGTTGCGATATGCAACTTCTACATTCTCATTTTGCCAAGTGTAGTCAAGCTCCTTCATAAGAGGCACTGATGTAACAAATATGTGTAAGAAACACTATTGTGCTAGCATTGAAACTGGTGTTGATAAGAAAAACCCATACGTGGTACGTTATAAAAGACTCCTGATGTAGATGACCAAAATTGCTCCCTGGTGCATGTCATACATAAAGGGGTTCAACTGCACCAAAAAGCGTGTGGCTGTTAACTAGTTAGGTTATGCAATGAATTCAATAGTAGTAGGACAGCAGCAGGAAAGTAGAAATTGTGCACGTCTCTTATATAAAGGGGTTAAACTGCACCAAAGAGCAGGTGGCTACCTGCTGGCTACTGACTAGTTTGGTAATGCAAAGGCTTGAAAAGTAGAAAGACTGCAACTAGAAAGTAGGAGTTGTGCATGTCTCTTATATAGAGGGGTTCAACTGCACCAAAAAGTGTGTGGCTATTTACAAGTTTGGTAATACAATGGCTTCAAAAGTAGTAGGACTGCAACTGCAGTAGGAATAGTGTAGGTGAATTTTTTGAGGGACTCATTTCTTTGCTAGAAACAAGCGCATGAATACAACTGACAATTAGGCCACACAAAGCATAGGGGCCATTGCTCTTAACTGCAACGTAGGTATAATATAAATTGAAATGAATCAAAGTGGACGATATGTCACCCTTTGATTGGGGCATGAACCCACAACCTTCGAAGTTGCGTTGAATGCTCTACCAATTTGGCTACAACGGAGGGTGCATATTTGTTTGCTTTGTGGTATATTTCTTTATGTGCAACTCCTAGGAGTGTTGGCTAGTGCTGCTGATTATAACCATGGTGTGGCGACTGTGGAACATGCTCTTTTTGCCGGAAGTCTTCATGTGGTTCATCATTTTTGCACGAGCCGGCAGCTTCCCAGTAAGTTAAGATATTAAAGGACCCATTACACCAAATTTATGAACTTGAGATGCTTGTGTCTGATAGTCTTGCATGCTGGGCCAATTCTGATAGATTATTAGTGACGAGTGTTGCCTGTAAAATATTTTACTTTAGTTTTAAAGTAAGGGTGCATGCTCATTCAAGTATTCAGGTGTAATCAACATTTTCTGTAGTTTGACATAGATAGGGGCCCCCTCGTGACGTTTGCAGAAGTCGAGCAAGCATTGTCGGCGTCTGAGAACATTTGCGGGGCACACTATCCTGACTGGCGCCCGGTGAGGACTATTGTTGGTCATCCCTTTTGCTCTGTTGTTAGCTGCTCTCAAGATGGTTATTGGGTACTTACGCTAGGAATGCTTTTCTTTTTTCTGAGGGGGACACGCTCAAAGCACCCACATCGTTTTATTCTTGAACACCCGCGGGTACCGCTATTTGAAAACAGCATGTTCAACGTCACTGAAGCTTGAGTGCACATGGTCTTGGGCACTTTCCCGCTGTGGGGCAGTAGTTTCTTACTTTATTTGGGTGGGCCTTTCAAACTGATGCAAAATTGTTCTGAATTACCCATAGTGCTAGCATTATTTATACAATGCTTTAGAGCACTCACAATTCAATTTCCGCATTACTGGATGCAAAGCTATAAATTACTGTAAAAAAAGTCGCAAAGAAAACTTCCGCTGTCAGGGGTTGTTTAAGTCTGCCAAGGCGAGGTTCTCGCTATGAGTGAACGAAAGAATGAAACAGGTTAGTGTAGCAAGGACGAGCTTCTGAAAGCTGTGCTGCATGAATTTCTGTTGAAATTACTGTCTATCATAATTGTATCAGATTTGGGATGCAAAATGTGAACAGTTCTATTTCATCAGTGTTGCTGAAACAACAGGTACTGTCAAACAGGGCATTGATTGTGAAAAGCAGCGCAAGCCATGGAAGAAAAATGAGCAAGGCATGTGTATCAAAATATGAATGCCATGTGCAGGAATTCTTTATTGTGGTTTAAGGTACTTGCATTAATAAGGTTGGATTCCAATGGCACTGTCGAAGCAGCCTATAGACCCCGCGAGCAAGCACTTGACTTTGGCTTAGAGCAGTGCCTTCCAAGTTTTTTATTGCAAAACAAAACGTTCTGCGGGAGCAAGGTGGAAACGGAAGATCTGTCTTTCGAGTGATGTGTTACCCAGACGATTTTGTATAGTTATTCCATTACCCTGTAAAATTCTGTCAAATTCTCGCTTGTATGCGGCAGTTTCAGCGTCGCTGTCATTATCCGACAAATTGCTCATGCTGGAACATCTTTCTGACTCGGGAGCTGTTGCTATCAAGCAGTAGAAGTAGTGCGGCACAATTTGCTGACTCGTCCATATCATCCGCCATTACCACCAAAACAAGCAAACATAGAGTTTCCTATATATATCCACTAGAGGGAACTCTGGCACTAGTGTCTATGGGAGCTGCAATGCATGGTGCTTCAGAGAGCATGGGAATGATGGGTAGTACACAGATTTGTCTTACCTTCGTGCTTCCGGCTTCGTGTTTGTTCGTGTGGCTTGGAGCTGTTCTGTCATGAAACGAAAATCAGTGAATGTTCAGTGGTTGTGTGCTTCACTACCTTAATCTTTAGGGCATACCATTTCAAATCGGGTCACAAAGTTCAAAAGGGTTCGTTCTTTCCATCAAAACAAAACCGAAACAGCAATAAACGAAGCCACAAGTGCGATTCGCTGCTCGCAATTACGAAGACTAGGCAAATCTGTGTGCTACCCATCATTCCCATGGTCGCTGAACGATTGCAGTGCCAGATTTCCCTTTAGTTAATTTTAGGAAACGATGCAAGCGACCACCTGTGGTGCGGAGGCGCCCCCACACAGACAATTGTGTTAAAAGAAGTACATCATGCCAAGTTCCGGTCTACTCTACCAACTATGTTGAAGCAATACTTTTTTGCAGACTAGTTGGTTCATACTTGAAAAATTGATTTGCTACACAAACTTTAAGGAAAACAAGGGAGACAGAAAAGAGCGCAGTCTCCCTTGTTTTCCTTCAAGTTTGTGCAGCAGATCAATTTTTCATCTACCAACTAACTTTTCCTGCTCTACGGAGCAACTCCTGCTCTGAATCCACTCCAACTCTCCCATAGAAATGCTCGACTCCCACCTTCACTTTCATTAAAGCAACCTTTCTCCAAAACGAGCAGAAAAACTTGCTCTGAATCTGCTTTTGAATTTCAACCTGACTTTCGCAGCTCTGTAATTGAGAAAACTGCTACAGATGAGTCTCTCATATATCCTCCATTCTTTTTTTATTGCGGGAGGTGGACTGCCACGCTACAAGAATGGAGGCCTCCAACTTGAGCCATCTTGATAGCATGCCCTCTATCCCATTGATCTCATGTTTACCATTTCCAGTGCGAACTGGTTACATTTTATGCCTGCAAATTTCCTAATTTCATCACCTTGCTTAATATTTCGCCACCCTCTGCTGCATTTCCCATCTCTTGGTGTGTGTTGCGGCACTGACCAATGGTTGTTTGCAATTCACTTGCACGAATTGCACAGGTTTATTTTGTTGTCTCTTGATGTCAACTTGGATATTGGATGCCCCCATCCTCTGACCTGCTCTGCTGGCTTCATATCTCGAAATGTTACACCTGTCATTTTCTGTTCTATTGCATACTGCTTCATGAACTTTTTTAGTTTTTTTGTTTAAAGTTTGTGCCCCATATGTTAGTACTGGTAAAATGCAATGGTTGTACATTTTTCGCTTTCGAGACTGTGAAAGGATCCTGGTCTAGAGTTAAAAATGCTCACTGTATTTCCGTGAACTTCCTGGTGTGCCTAGATGCACATACTCCAGTACAGATAGGAAGGGTCTGGTTGCAAATTGTGAACTGTCATTCACTCGCCAGGCCACCAAACAATGTCATCAGCATATTCTCAATCCTTTTTAATACTTGGTCAATATGTTTTGCTATATGCCAATATTGCTCAACAGAAAACAGAACAATGCCATTTGCAAACTAAGTTTCTATATTATTGTTTATCTTTATGCTTATTTTTCCCAATCTAGTTGTTAAGCGTGCAGCGAGCAGAATGGAAGAAATTGCCTACCCTTGCCAGGCTCTTTTCTTTTGAGAAGGAGCAAGGTTGCTATGGAGTGTTTGCAAATGTTGGCTTCGGTACTCACGCAAGTTTCAAGTCACTCTTGGTATCGAATGTTTCATTGTTCATGAACGCCATATAAGTATAGAAGTATTATAGTCCGCCATTGTGGAATAGTGGTTATTGTGCTTGACAACTGACGTGAATGTTGCGGGTTCGATCCCTGCCATGGCGGTTGTATTTTGGTGGAGGCTGAATGGAAGAAGCCTGTGTACTGTGCGATGTCCGTGCATGTTAAAGGACCCCACATGGGCAAAATTTCCAGCGCCCCACTATGGCATCCCTCATAATCATATCGTGGTTTTGGGATGTTAAACCCCAGATATTGTTGTTACTATTACTACTACTACTATTAGCATTCGTTGTACTCTGCAGGTTTCTGAAGTACCTGATTGATCACATGGCTGTTATGTAGGCTTGTG